AATAAAAATCCACTCGATTCCTGGAGCTACTGTCTGCTCTGTGAATGCATCCTGAGAATGCACAGTCCTTGAAAACAGCCAGGCAGCATGACTGACATGGTCTAGAATATCAGCCATGCCTCTGGGCTGACTCATGTACGTGTTTATCTTCTCTACTTTCCATTTGGAAAATAGACTTTCTGGGTCTCACAGTAATTTGACCTCTGCAGTGCCCAGCATTAGTTTAATATAGGATCATACTCTTCACTTGTCGAAACTAGCTTGAGCAGAAATGGATTTTGCAAAGCACAGGGTTGACAGGTGCAGGGGGATCACGATGGCAGTTAACTGCAGTGATATGGAAGTGTGCCTAAATAGTGGCAACTGGAAAGTTCTAATACCTTTCTCCCCATCTTTATGCCCTTACTATTTTGTTTTTCTGTACACCAAGAATGATATTGTTGATTGTAAGTCATGGTATAAAAATAGGGGTTTTCATTTTTCAGAACTGAGGCTTTATCGTGTGCTTCTTTAGTAGAAGTCTATGTTTTTTGTCTTACTTGGATTCTCTTCCCTTTCTCCCTATCTTCAGAACAGACTTAAATTTGGGCAGTATCCATGGCAGAATAAGGCAGGAGATTCATTTTGTTCCTTTGTTAAGTTGAGATATAGAGAAGGGGAAGTGGTGATGTATATAGTTGCCCCCCTCTGAGAATACACATTTACGTTGCATTTTCTTGCCTTAAGCATTGTTGGAGTTACTAAGTTTAGTCTTCTATCTCATATCTTTCCCTTGCCTGGTTAACTGGCATTGACAGCATCAGGTCTGAGAGATTATTTATGTCACAGACATGCTTACTGAAAGGATTTTCCTTTGTTATCTAGAATCTTACCTTGTGTCCTAGAACGATGACATTCTCTGTTTCTGTGGTTTGGATTTTGTGGGCAAGTTTAGAGAAATGGACGTCAGATCATGTAAGAAAGCCTTGATTTATTTATTGATTTATTTTAATCTGGGAAGGCAAAACAAATATGAAGTCCTTCATATGAAAAACAAAAACAAACAAAACCAGTTTGGGTATGAGCCCCTGAAATGCCTTTCATTTTAATGTAGTGTGATCAGTTCCATTTCTTGCTTTTAAAGAATAAAATTAAAGACCCTTTGAAGGATGCTTTTTGAAGAATACTGAGTCACTAGTGTGGTGAGTAGTAGATTTTAGGAAGACAGGGTCTAAGGTCCTGGAACCGGATCTAATTGGTTGTTTTTAGAAATTCTCTATATGTCAATGGATTAAATACATTACTTGACTTTCCCATCAGAAATAAGATTCTTACAGTAACGTCTAGTGGTCGTGGTGGATAGTATCATGAGAACCTCAAGGTATAACAGAAAATGAAGATAATTAAGAAATACATCTGGAAAATACAGGAACGATAGTTACACCGCATCTCCAAGTGTATGGGAATTTACCTTTTCTCCTTTCCATTTAGAAATAAGATTTCTATATTTAATACTAATTTGACTTCTTTAATGTCCCCACCCACACAATTATTTCTAGATTACCTTTCTACCCTAGGCTCTTACATCATGTACCTGTCATAGGAAGCAATTGTCCAAGTACTGTTGCCTATTTGCAAAGTTTGAGCATCTCCACATTTCCTTCATTCTTTGGGATGAGAGACTGGAAGCTATCCCTTTAAAAAAAAACAAACAAACCCAGTCCAGGGAAAAAGGCGTCCTGTGTTCTAGGTTTATTGAACTTGAGTATTATACCCTTGTTTTATACCCCAGCGCTTCACTCCCCTCATATATTCTTGGAAGAAATTTCAAACCAGGACTTAAACAGGAAGCTGGAGTTGTTCAAATAGATTTTCCCTGAGTGTTATCAATTTTTAATCTATATGCAAGAGAAGGAAGGTACCCAAAAGTAGTAGTATCATAGCTTAATATTGTGGCAATACAATGCATTTTATTTTCCAGGAATGGTCCCTAAGTATTATAACTGTATAATTATAATTTCTATATTAGTTGCTGACAAGTAATTAATTATCAGTTTGCTTTGTTCCCAACAGCAAAATGAAACATTTAAACACTTGTAATATCTTTTTTGTTTGTGTGTTTCCAGAAAAGTGACATCAATATACAATGTTTCTTATTCCTGTCAATGTTAGTCAATTTCAAATCCGTTTAAGTACTTCCCGCAGCTTCTGGTAATCATCTAGTTTGTGCTGTTACCAAGAGATGGAGCAGGATGTGGTATCTAGCAGGGCGGTTAGAGCCCGCTTTCTGCTTCCTCAGTATTTCCCGGGGAAAACAAGCCCATGTGTTTCCCACCACTTTCACTATCACCAACAAGTTGAATTTGCTGATGAGGCGGAAGCTGGTTCCCCAGGACTAGTGTTAGAAGATGCCGCTCCCTCTCTCTCTTCCCCTCTCCTTCCCTTATTGTGGAAATAAGATACTAGACAGAAGACTAAAACTGGAGAGGATCTCTCCGTGATAATTTATTCCATAGCTTGTAAATCTGCAGCTAAAAAGCAGGAAAGTTAGCCGCCACCTCCCCCCCATGGCATTCCACAGACATAATGGCAGAGCTGAGATGGGAATCTGATCCCCTGACCAAGATGAAGTCAGGCCATGGAAGCATCACGTGGGAAACATGATGGTGATGACCAGACAGTGATGCACTTTGTTGTTATTTTCTTCCTTCTTGGAGTCTAAGGATTGTTTTCCACTTAAATGATAACTGTAGTTATAACGTAGGGAGTCTCTGAGTTGAGCAAATGGTTAAGCTCTCAAATACTAATCAAAAGGTTGGAGGTTCAAGTCCACCCATAAGTGCCTCAGAAGAAAGGCCTGGCAATCTATCTCCAAAAGGTCACAGCCATTAAAAACTTTGTGGAGCACAGTTCTACCCTGACACATATGGGGTTACCATGAGTCGGAGTCAGCTTGATGACAACTGCTTAGGTATGTCAGATAACTGAAAAACAATGAGAACAGAAACTTGGGAACAGGGATAAGAAAATGAAAAATAAAAGTAAAATGTCAACACTGTGGAGTTTTTAAAAATAGCCGGTGATAACATTATTATAAAAACTCAAGGATATAATAAAAGTGTAAAAAAGTAGGAAAAATATTTAAAATACTACTTCCCAAACTACTGTTTTAGCAATTTTTTAAAAAAATTTTTCTGGGCATTTTTTCTTTATTATCTGACATCCCTCATGTCTAATTTTGTATTATGATGTCTTAGTCATCTAGTGCTGCTATAACAGAAATACCACAGGTGGATGGTTTTAACGAAGAGAGGTTTGTCTCGCACTGGTCTCCTGATTCTGCTGCTGTTGGTTCTCTGCCACTGCCGCTCCTTTGCTGCTGCCACTGCTCTATCCATTCACAGTTTCAAAACCGCTTCCACATTTTAGGTATCTGTTAGAGCAGCACCCCACTCCTGGTACCAAATTCTGTCTTAGTTATCTAGTGCTGCTCTAAAAGAAATACCACAGGTGGATGGCTTTCACAAACAGAAATTTATTTCCTCACAGTTAAAGTGGGCTAAAAGTCCAAACTCAGGGTGTCAGCTCCAGCAGAAGGCTCTCTCTCTGTCAGCCTTCTCATCAGTGCTCCCCTGGACTAGGAGCTTCTCCACACAGGGACCTCTGGTCCAAAGGACACGCTCTGCTCCTGGCACTGCTTTCTTGATGGTATGAGGTCCCCAGTTCTCTGCTTGCTTCCCTTTCCTTTCATCTCTTGTAAGGTAAAAGGTGGTGCAGGCCACACCCTAGGGAAACTCCCTTTACATTGGATCAGAGAGAGATGTGACCTGGGTAAGGGTGGTGTTACAATCTCACCCTAATCCTCTTTAACATAAAATTACAATCACAAAATGGAGGCCAGCCACACAATCTGGGAATCATGGCCCAGCCAAATTGACACACATTTTTGGGGGGACATAATTCAAACCATGGCATATGATTTTGTGGCTTACCATTAAATCAGAAATATTTCTCATATGATAAAAACCTTGTAAATATGCATTTACTATTTGTTGGATAATCTATCATTATGCCATATTTTATTTCACTGTCAGTTTCTGTATTATTTGATATTTAGACTACTATAATTTTTGCTGAACAAACGACATGCTGAATATGCTTGTTCACAAATATTCATCTACATTTTGTATCTTTCTTGTTGGATACATTTCTAGATTTGGAAATACTAGATAGAAAATAAGTAACTTTTAAGAGATGAATGTTAGGAACCTTTAAAGGAGATAGAGAACATTTAAAAATCCTCTAATTTCCAGCTTTTCATCCTTACAAAATTTTACTCTACATCTTTCTTGAAAACATCCTTTTCTTTACTAAGACTTTTGAGGCTTCTCGATTCAACTTCTTTTGTTCAGATTGTGGAGTTAAGTTTCAAATAAGGCAGCCCACGATATCTGGGTTAGAGAGTCATTTTAGCATCCTCCCCCCCACCCCCATTTCTGTTTCTTGCCAAACTTTCTAATTCAGGGCCGTATTTCTTGTCTCTTTAAACTTTCTCGAATTTCTCTTCAATGTCACTAATTTTAATGGCTCAGCGGTGGCAGTGCAGCTTTCTGGCAATGTCCTGATAGCAGCATCAAAGCAAAGAGCTAAAATTTTACTCACTTTGATTGATGAGCTCATTTTGTTACAGAGAACAAATTGGATTTTTTTTTTATACTGGTAATAAAAATTAATGTGTGATGTTGCTATTTGAATGTTACTGGATCTCTTGCCTTAAAACAGATTTCAGCAATAAAAGCACTAACAGATAATTTGACCAGAAAGTTACCTCCCTCCCCTTTAAACTGGCCTCCAAAGTTAAAGGCGTGCTCCAAATTTCGTAATTCTGGTACATTTGTGTATGGATGTATATATGGATGGAAGTGGGGTTGAATAATATGGGAGAAGCAGTGCAAGTGGGGTAATAATAGTCTGTTTTTCAACTTTCCTTGTCATTGTGATGTTTATTTCTTTTATTTCAGCACCTCCAAGGTTTACACGAACTCCGGTGGATCAGACAGGGGTCTCTGGTGGAGTTGCCTCTTTCATTTGCCAAGCTTCGGGAGACCCAAGACCAAAAATCGTCTGGAACAAAAAAGGAAAGAAAGTCAGCAATCAGAGATTTGAGGTATTAGGTCCATTGTTCTGTTTCTCTGGGGGAAGACTGTATCTACTCTAGCTTTTGGTGGTGGTTTTAACTTGTTGGTTTTACTCTGACATAACCACGGTGTATCAGTGGGCATTCTTTATGTTGCATGTGATGGAAAACTCAATGCAAAATGGCTTTTTCAAAAAGGACATTTGAGGGCTTAGGTGGCTGGCTTTTGTCTCTACTTGTACCAGGGCTCAAATGGTGGTCCTAGGATCTATCTCTGCCAGCTTCAACCTCAGGCTGCTTCCCCTTATGGGTACAAGATGTAGCGTCACATCCTTACACAACAAACCCTACAGGGTGAGTGACAGCTTGTCTCTTCCAGAAGCTTCCTGTCTCATTGGCTCTTAATGAGTTACATGCCCTTCCTGGAACCAATATGTGTGGACAGATGGATGGTATAGGCTAATCAATTTAAGCCATTCAGAATCTGTTTCTCTTCCTGGGAATGGTAGCAGCCCCATGGCTTAGAATGAGGGAGCAGTATTTTCCCAAAGGGAATTCAAGTTCCTGTTACCGAGAGGAAGGGTAATGGAAGCTGGGCAGTGGATGAAGTTGTCCCCTACTCCTTGCACCTGTGCTTTGCAAGTAGCGTGAACTTGAATGAGCTTTGCTTCCTTGTTTTCGTGTAGAACGTTACACTGAAAGAACACAGCCAAGTAGGCTGTTATAGTTAAACCTATTGAAGAAAATTGATTTTCTCTATTCAGGAAAGCTTAGTGCATTGAAGATGATGAAATGTAATTCAGAGATTCTTCTTTGGAGGGTGTGTGAGGAGCCTGATGGTTTAGAAATTTGATCATGCCAGAGAATAAAAATAGGTAGTAATGTACATAGAGAAGGCTTGGAAGAAGTCCGCAATAACAAACCTATAATTTAAGACATGAAGAGGATAGCATGATTCTTAGCGTATCAAGACCCCCAAACTGCTCCAGATTATAAAACTCACCTCCTCTCACCTGAGTGACTAATCTACTTCATGGCCTAATTCATAATTTGGCAATTAGATGCAGTGGTTACGAGCTCAGCTGCTAACCGAAAGGTCAGCAGTTGAAATCTACCAGCCACTCCTTGGAAACCCTATGGGGCAGTTCTACTCTGGCCTATAGGGTCCCTATGAGTCAGAATTGACTTGACGGCAATAGATTAGTTACAGGAAACACAATGACTACAACATTCACAACTGTCTGATTTCACTCATTTTTCACAAGTTCTCACAGAGCGATAAATGGCACAAATGCATAAAAACCTAATCAATGACACTGGTGAAAATTAACATCTGGGCTGTAGTTTACAAATGGTATATTTTAAAATGCTACTTGTTTGAGAATCAAATAGCATAGTAGAAACATTTAATGGAAAAATAATATTTTAAATAATCTTTGGGAAATGTTTTCTGCATCATGTAAAAAATAATGTGTGTAGTCATCTTTGGCATACTTTTTTTGGTTTAACTGAAATTGAATTATTTTGTCAAAGAGGAGCTTGACATCATTCTTGCTAGTGATCATGGCTTCTTGAAAAAATGTTATAACAAAGATTAAGTTATAATAGTAAACATTCCATAACATAAGCTGTGCTCAGTACCTAATTCTTAGTGAGGATCATATAAACACATTCAGGGAAAATTATTTTTACACAAAGCACCTACATCAAATAGTATCAACCTTTGGGTAGAAAAGCTTCAGTATCTGTAACAGTGCATGTACATATTTATATGTACCTAGGTTCCACTGGTTTCTAAGACCCGTGAGAGCAGTGGATATGACTGGTTTTTCTTCCTCTTCTGTTCCCAGTGCCATATACAATGTCCGGCCTATTGGTAGGTACATAATCAATTAAACAAGCAAATGAACCCAAAACAAAAAAGTTCCTGTGGAGTCAGTTCCAACCCTTGTGACCCCATATGTGTCAGAGTAGAACTGTGCTCCATAGGGTTTTCAGTAGCTGATTTTTTGGAAGTAAATTGCTAGGCCTTTCTTCTGAGATTCCTCTGGGTGGAACTGAACCGACAACCTTTTGGTTAGCAGCCAAGCACCTTAACCATGTGTCCCACCCAGGGACTCCACATAA